AATTCCTCAGCACATTCGCTCGGTCGTGAACTTTAGGAGCGCCCAAGAAACAATCGAACAATTAACGCGAGCGAGTGGGTAAGTGGGGTAAGTGGGGCGAGCGGGAGGCCCCCAAAGGTGAGCGGGCGTGCGTGCCACGGCCGTGCGGAGCCGTGCGCCCACCAACACGTGTCATCACGTTTTTCATTTTGTATGATCATTATTTTTATGGTTTCATTATTATTGTATTTCCTACTCAAGTGCCCCTTCTACGCATTGGTAAAATTCCCACACACGACGCTGCCGGCCGGCGCAGCCCGGCGCAGCCCCCACCCATCCCATACTCGCTCTGCCCTTCGACCAAGCGCGGTCGTGGCCGCGCTTAAAACGCAATTCCAGAGGGCGTAATCTTAAAAGCCTTTTGTGGCCTGGCGAGCCAGTGCCATATCACACTAAGGAGCTTCGGGTGTCCTCCGAGAGCGAGTGAGTGACCTTTACGTCGTGAAACCCGCCTGCTCCAAAGAAACCTTTGGAAATCCCCGAATACACCTTACGGCAAACCTTTATTGTAAAAGGTTGTAACGGGGAGTCGACGACGAAAAAAGAGATGACGGGCGATCCCTCCTTGGGGAGCAACTTTGGGGCACACTTTGGGGGAACCTTGCGAACGATTCGGAGGGAGGCATCGAAAAACGCCCGAGCGCCCGTCTAATTTAATCAACTAACGACGGAGGACGTGAGGGGGTGACGGAGAGCGGGCGAGAGAGAGAGCTGGGTGGACTTGGAGATAAGGGAGCCGCCGTCTTTCAAACTCTATTCCCCTGATGAATAGGCTTTAGCGCCGACTTTTTACTTCTTTTAAGTGCATCCCCTCCCCCCCTTTTTATTTTACAAAAGACGCCCCCGGCCTGCCGCAGCCAGTCCGAACATTAGATTTACATAATCCTTGCAGCGGTATTTAAACAGGCGCAGCACCGCCCGTCCCCGCGGCTGACCGCCGCGCAGTGCGACTGATACGGCGCGGACAACTCGAGGCAGCGAGGGCCGGCGCGTGGGCCAAGCACTGCAGTGCTGTCGGTGGGGGGCAAAGTTGGCAATGAGCTTGCCTTTCGTAACCGGGATGTTATACCCGCGCGTTGCACGTTGATTTGTCACGACTCCAGCTCTTGTCCTTAATAAGCCCCGCCGCCGTGGGGGCCGGAGGGGACCGCGGGGGTTCCCACATGCGTCGGCTCACATGTCGCATGCGGGCGCCCGCCCCGCGAGACGCAGCGCAGCGCACAATATCGTTCATTAGTGCGGCGTAACTCGATCATATTTCAGCAATACAATCAATTTCCCTGGTAAATGGAAACCTTGCGGCCCTCGACTGTATGCCCCGCTCACTCTCACTTTCCAAGAGAACCATCGGGGCGACTTAATTGCCGCAGAGTGCAAGAAGTAGTTTGGGGGCCAGTGTGTATGTATGTGTGGCTAGCCACCAAAGAATTGCATACAAATGATGAGATGTTTCAAAACTGCCAACGTACTTCAGACGGGCTGCCTTCTTTGGCGGCCGGCCGCGAGGCGGACCCCACTGCCACCGCCCGCTCACTCTTACCAGCGGTCGCTTTTATTCCCCTTTCAGCGACGACCTCTATCGGCGTCCATCATTACCACAGGGGCATAAAAGCCGGACGTAAAAATAATTTTTATCGGGGCGCGCTGGGCCGGGCGCCGGGCGGCTGCAGCTGCAGCTCGTGTAAGGCACTGCCGCCGCGCACGCGTTGCCTCCGTTCCAATTTCTCATACCAGCCGCGTGACGCCGGGCCGCCGCGGTCAGCAACGGGGTTCCGTCGCTGCTCCTCAACTTTGTTGTCGCTTATAAAAAATAAACAAGCAGAGCAGAGAGGGGGGTGGTCAAGGTGGAGGTGAGGTGTGTGGAGGGGGAGGGGACAGGCAGAACCCGCTCCTCCCTGCCCTAGGAAGCGGCCAGCCAACGCCACGCCACGCCGCG